AAAAAAAAAAAAAAAAAAAATGGATCACGTGGGCTTCACAATTTTGTTCCCCTTTTTTTGAGTAAACACTTTTGGGATACGTGGCAAAATCGGCAAAGTGTTAAAAAAAAAGGGTTTTTTTCCCCCACCCACAAAAAAAAGGAGGTACCAACAAAATCGCGCATGTAAAAAAAAAAAAAACGGAGGCTTCTTAACACCTTAGCGGAGTGTGAAAACACAAAAATGTCCTACACACACACATACGGCGGGTTTGCCTTCACAAAATATGTTTCTTTTCAACGTCCCTAATTTTTTTGTAAATCAACATGAGAGTCAAAATGATGAGGACAGCAAAGGCAAACGAAAAAAAGTAGGACGTACTGTTTCCCTTACTAATGATAGTTTCCAGCTGCTGGGCCTTGTGCGCAAGAAGCTTCAATTCTTGGTTTTCATTAATTCGTTTTGTCAACCTGTCTGTGATGTCTTCCATGTTCTGCTTGCTGTGTTGTGCATGTGAATGAAATAAGCTTTTGAGGTCACTCAATTCTGTGCTGAACAGTTTATGGAAGTGTTTTGGGTCTTCAGATTTGCTCACCATATTTTTTTTCACTTGCTTTAACTCTGCTTGTACAAGTAAAAGATTCTCGTGCAGCACGTTAAGACTCTGCAAAATTTTTTGTTCAGTACTTTTTCTGTTAGAAATGAAATTTTGCAGCGTATCGGTTAGAGAGTGGGCTCTTTCCTCTTTGCTGAGGTGGTTGGAGTTTAGTACGTTAGAAGTATCACTTGAGTCGTTCCTGATGTCTTCCTCCACATTGGCATCCATTAAGTCTTCTTCTTGTCCTGAGTACTCTGCCTGCTCTTCGTCAGTGACAACATTGTTACTTGAGATTGAAACGTGTGTGATCCCAACGAAGGTTGGAACATATTTCTCTTCATTGGTGTTAGGCAGCTGTTCATTCTCGTTATAATTAAAAGCACTGAACCCTATGTAATTTTCGTTTGGTATTTGCTTCTTCACAGTTAAGCAGTGAATATAGCTGTTGTTGCTTCCATTGAACAAATACACACGCATTTCATTTTTGTGTGTCGTTATTTTCACATAGACCAGCTTGTCCATGCTAAGTACACTAAGGTTGTAACTCTTTGTAGTGTTCTCCTTCACATGAACTTTTTTTTGTCCATTATTAATTAACCCTGATAAGACTAAATTGTTTCCTCGTAATTGAAAACCTACCCCGATGCCATTGAAATCTTTTTTATAACCATACAAGCCAAATTGATCTTCCTCAAGTTGCATCACTCCTTCATCATTTACCACACTTGGTAGGGAGAACTCATTTGGTAAGAGCCAAAAGGCAAAGCCATTTATTTTGTTCTGTTCTTCTGTTGAAATATTATATATTGTTTCTTTTAACTGGTTACTTTTGTAATATCTTTGGTCTATAGGTTCCTTGTAGTATTTGTTCTTTATGTGGAAACTGAATTCGATATTGAGGGTGTCTGAAAGGATGGGCTTGCTGTGGTGAAGGAACCCCCTTCGGTTGTATACGTTTGGGATGAGCACTAGGTACTTGTTTGTGCTAGCTGTAGAGTAGTTGAGCACCCATCCTTTGTTCAGGTCTTTCACAGTGAATGGTGCGTGGAACGAGTGCATGGGCGAGGTGTACATGTCCCCGCTCCCACTGTTGTTGGCGCTCTCCGACGCTCTCGTGTGCCGGCTAGAAAACCAGCACAACAGCCCCACAAGGGCCAACAGGAACCTTGCCATGGGAAGCACGGCTGCAATGGGGAGGGAGCGGCTGTAGAGGGGGTTTAAGTGGGGGCGCTTCTACTGAGTATGATTCCGTGCTGAACTACCGGCATCGTAGCGTAGCGCGGGGGATGAGGGCAGGTGCAGTCCGATCAACCGCTGCGCTAAACAACGTCGCAAAACAACGTCGCAAAACAACGTCGTAAAACAACGTCGTCAAACAGGGTTGTAGCGCCGGGAAAGTGCTTCCTACACCTCGTAGACCAAGGCGCGTGCCCTTAAAGAGGCAAAACGTTGGTTGACGTGAAAATATCACATATACCTCCTACATGGCCCAGAACGCATATATGTACTGCTTCACATGAGTACCATGTTGTGGAGATGCTCTTATGAATTTCCTTGTGCTCAACGGTATGCTACAAAAAAAAAAAAAAAATAAAAAACAAAATAACATTACGCGTGTATGTGCAAATGTGATGTGGCG